AGTGGGCAACAGCGTGGCTGGAGGATGTGGTAGAGTGCCATGGAGAAGAGAGTAGTAAGATATAGCTTTACTATGACGGATGGCCGTGCTTAATGAGCTTATGGTGTTGGGAATATCTTCACTCTGCACACTGCTAAATGCTGACGTAATGGACTCGTCCACTAATCCACCACATCCATCCACTTCACGATGGCTTCAAATAGATCCACTACACAGACGGGATGCGTGGATTAATATCCATCCACTCCATTTGCCTTACCAGTGGATTTAGTGGAGTGGTTTGCAACTCTGATGAAAACTGCTGTTGGTGTTGTTTTCACAGTCGCATTGGCCGCTGCCCTGCCCAACTTCGAAAGGTCAAACCCGACTTGCGATGGCGATAAGGCGAAGCTGCCTTGGCTTCCGCATGGAGGCGAATATCGCAAATGCGATCGAACTTACGTGCGGATGATGACGCCTCTTCCCTCTCGCGAAGACTTCGAGAAGATCTGCGGAACGGATATTCTCTGCGAGGCATATGAAACCAAGTATCTCAAGCCGCACGAACTTGAATACATCACCAAGCTATACGGCTACAAGAGTGACCAAGAGTGCTATGATGCTCACGACTCTGACCCTAAGGGCAAAGACAATGTAAAGTCGGGAGTCAAGCTCCCCTGGGTCGAACATGGAGGCGATATTCGCAAATGCGACGAGCTTTATTGGAACACGATGACACCTCTCACTAGCAAGGATATAGAGAAGATCTGCGGAACAGAAATCTTCTGTGAAGCATTCAAGCCCGAGGATATCAAACCACAAGAACTTGAATATATCGCCAAGCGATTCGGCTATAGGAATCACCACGATTGCTATGCGGCTCGCGAACTTGAGCCTGAACAACAGTAATGCCAACTGACACAAGGCCTGAGCATGTCATGGCGTCGGTTATTATGACTCAACTTAGCCGAAAAACAGGCTCGGACGAAAGGAAGTTTTTATGTATTTAAAAGATAGCTGCAAACTCCGTCTGCAGCACAAAAAGAACGAGAACAATGATTTTGTGAAGAAGCTTACTTAACAATGAGTCTCATAACGTGACAAAATTCGATAAAGAAAGCCTTTGTCTGCTATTCCTTCCAAGTTCAACCCCAAATCCAAACCCCAGCAAAAACTGGATAGGTGCTCAACAAAAGCAGTTAAGCAATTTTGTTATTACCCCTGTCCTAAGTCAATTATTTATCCTTCAGAAGGGTTCATGTCTTTTATCTTTAGTTTAGAAGACTTCCCAGCCACCTGATTTCATCAGGGTGGCTGGCCAGCCTCTCAACTACTGATATCGATGATTTTATGACATCTAGCAATTACGTCAAGTCTGCTTGTTCAACTAACAGAGGCAGCCTTATCCGACAACTACTATTCAAATATTGTTCAACCAACAGAGGCAGCCTTATCCGACAACTACTATTCAAATATCCAAACAAATCGAGCCCTCGGATTTGATTTGATTCAAGTGATCTAAGATCAGATCCGATTTGAATGAATTTGGATTTATTTGATTTGATTTGAATAAATTTGAATGCCATTGATTTGTTTGCAAGTCTGGATGGGCCACATGAAGCAATCATGTCAGTAATCCAGCTGTGCACTGAAAGCACCCGTGGAACAGGAGCT